AAACAGCAAAAAAAAGAACGCGCCCCCGACCAAACAGCAAAAAAAAAAACCCGAAAAGCCCAAACAACAAAAAAGACCAGACAACAAAAAAATAAACACTCTTACCAGATAGAGAGAGAGAGAGATTTTTTGGGTATAGGGACGGGCTAAACCTTTGGACACCCTCCCCAACCCCGAGGGCAATTCAGGATGGGAGAAACGATCCTTGAGCAGGTAAGGCCAGAGTCAGCCAAAAGAAGGTGTAATCCTACCGTGTAACTATGTGTAACAATGGCAAACCTTACGCTTGTTTGCGGCCCAGAAGGTCAAGCCGGTCTCAGATCAACCTGAAATTGGTACAACCATCCCAGAATTTGCTCAAACCTGCATTGAATTGCTGGATCTTCAAAAGAGCAGACGGAAACGGATTGACACAACTGAGCCTGCGGAGAAGATTGCCTCGTTTCAGCCGTCTTTTCAAGAACAACCTTTTACAGAAAGAAAACAAGACAAGCATGTAGTTTAAGTAGCTGGCCGGCTGCTGCCAGTCAACCCTGGCAGGTTGGAATTGATGTGAAGCTGCAAGGCTGCACTCGCTTATTTCGTGAGCACTGACTTGCGCTGTTATCAAAAAGTGTGAGCAGGGCAGGGCAAAACAGGGCATCACAAGGCTTGGACACTTATGCCAACTTATGCCATGTGGCCACACCACACATACATGATTCAGGCGAGTCGTGCTAAAGCTGTGTGTGCTGGAATGCTGACCACCATTTTTGAAAAGTTGTGGGTCTTTGTGGGCTGACATATCAGACGACGTTGCTGTGAAGTCTGCTTGTGTAAGGAACTTTTAATATTGGACCGTGGCATTTTCTGAGGGCCCAAGTCTGCCATGCGTCAAGACGATTTTGCAGGTCCTCATGCCAAGCGTGCCAAGCATATGCTTCTGGAGCCGCAAGGGTCACATCCTGCCTCAGCAAGGGAGGAAAAGTTCCAGCAGATTCCGACGCGTTGTTGGCTTCTGCTGGCTAGATGCCTTGCACTGCGCTTGGTCTTGCCAAACTTTCTGAGCGTCACAACAGTCATTCGTACCTCTTCCGCTGGGAAACTGAGCCCACAGCCTCCCACATACACGGCTCTCATATCGCTGCCGCAGGCTGGCTTTTGGCCAGCTTTTGGCTGAGCTTGTGCCACCTAAAATCGTTGCGACCCCATCACCAGAAGTGGATGATCTGTGCAGAAGCTGCAACGACGCTGGTTCGTTCCTCCGGCAGCAAGCATTTGCATCGTTGATGACATGATCTCTGTTGCGTCCTCGAGATTGCAGCTGTTATGGCGAGTGTCATTGAAGACCCACGGGAAGCAGATGTGATGCTACTTTTGCTGAGCTCTCGTGGTAGCATGCGGTGGTAGAGAAAGATAGGTTATGCTTTCCCTTGTACAGTCCTAAGACCTGAGATTTTGAGTTCAATCC